TGAGGAAACTCTTCCGAACTGGTTGGAGATTCAGCCCAACAAGTCTCTACTGAAGGAATTGGATTATTTTTGTTTTTTCTCCCTTTCATCATCAACAAAGACTGGTTGACTTCCTTGGTTTAAGGAACCCATTTGGACTTTAAAATTGTGGAATAACTTGTGTATATATTTTAAATAATAATACAACTCACTAATTTTGCACCATCAAACTGTCTCTGTGTTTTACAATTTGCCACCTCCTCCAGCAGATGAACCTAGTCTATAAGAAATCACATGGGTTGACTTTAATTTGGGTTATTTCTAATCCTAATAATCCTAGAATGCAACTTGGGTTACACTAGCCTAGCCAGCTAAAAAACAAGATGGTAGTGCCTGATTTCACAGGCGGAACCAGGGCAGAACTAACAGCCAGGAGAAAAAAACTAGAATAAAAAAACTATGGATGTGATGTAATATGTTCTTTTTTTCAAAGAGAAAAGCTCATGCAGCAGTGAGTTGTCGTGTTAGGAATCAGCCATATAGGCTCAATCCCAATTTAGGAATATTTTTCTAAAAACAGTAACAGTCTTGGCAGACTGACCTAACACTTTGAGGCAGCAATGCCACCAACAATTAACAAACCCAGAAACAAAATCCAACAATTACCTGGAGCACAGTAATCAGCCACAGCCGATGGTTTCACTTTGGACTTTTGAATTATCTGCATTTTTGGTAACAATTTTACCTAGCAAAGTTCAGAACACAAGAGCCATGTTGTGCATGCTGTGAATGTTAAGCAGCCACACACAAATATTGATCAGAGGAAGGTGTTTCAAGAATAATGAACATATTGGATTCAGGCAGACATTCATGACACAAATCAGCCCTAAAACTCGATACAACTGTACCTTTTTTGTTTGAGTAATAGTCCAGAACGCGTTGTGTTTCACGACTGCAGTTGGTTTTGTAGACAAAAACTTTGTTCACACCCAGTAACTGAAGCATTTCGAAACTCTGCACCAGCTGCAAGACAATACAACTGTTTCAATACCAAATAAAACCAAACGAGCAAATAAAACCTTAACATTACATGAAATTGTGTATTATGGACCAAAACAACAGATTAGGGGTTGGCATTTGGGGCCTGTCTGACTACGAGCCAGAGGCAGGGTACACCCTCAAAAGCTTGATAATCCATCACAGAAACACACAGGGCAGAAAAAAAAATGCAAAATGGCAATTTAGAAAGACCAATTAACTAAGAGTCATGTTCTTAGATTAAATAGCTGAAGAATGCAAACAACAGGCAAAATCTGTGCAGTAAGATTTTAACCCGGGACCTTCCTACAGCAAGGTAAACGTGACCAACCTTCACTGTGAAGCCCATGAGATCATTAGTCAATATTTGACTATACATGATTGTAACGATAAGACCGCCCAAAACTTAGTGTACTGGTTTGCTGATGAACACAATGATTGAGCCTCGGATAAGGGATCAGCTAAAGGGTAACTTTATGACCTTGTTTAAAAATCACAGATGGTGGCAAACCTCACAAGAAGCAGTGAAACCAGGGGAACAGCCTGCAGCCAAACCTTTGTGGGGACACTTTACCTTTTAGTAATGCTCTCCCTGGAGCCCCCTCCACAGCAACTAACCATGACCCATTGCAGGGAGATATGGGTGTTTTGAGGGCAGTGTAAGCTAAGTTGGCGGTGTGTGTGTGAGGTCAAAGCAAACCAAAGTGATTATCCTAACCTGGCTGTAATGGTTGATGTAGAATTTCAGCATAGTTTAGAGAATGATCTACAGTTGGTTTATGAGGTGGAAAAATACAAACTATACATGGTTGGATGAACCATCACACACCTTGGGCTCTAGATTTCATCTATTGTAAGGAGACCAGACTTTCTTTTCATCAATTTGCCCAAAGAGAGTTGCAACAGGCATTGCAGGAATGCCCTCATATTTCAGTGCCAGGAATGGGTTGTACATACTGGATTCCAAATTCTGGCACAGCGTACCAATGACATGGTAGATGATTAGTACATATCTGGTTAAACATGAGATTTAACTCATACCTCCAAGAGAGATTTTTTTTCCCATCTATAATAGGGTTGTCAAAAGTATTGATACTCCAAAAAGTATCGATACTAAAACGTTGTATCCAGATATGATACTCAATTTTAAAAGTACCAATACTACCGCCGCCGCGCGTGCGCAACACTGACCGGCCTTCTCTCACTGCCTTCACATACACACGGCAGCATGTAGCCCTCGCTTCAGTCTGCAGGACGCCTCGGTTGGATATCCAACTCCTCCCACATGCCGTCGGTCAGCAGATATGGGATCTTCCTATTGGTGACCAAATCAAAATGACCGACTTTGATGTGGGCGGAGTTACAGACTGAAGCGAGAAGCTACATGCTGCTGTGTGTATGTGAGGGCAGAGAGACAGCACAATAACAGAAAAGAGCATGGCCAGTGCTGCTGCAGGAGGGCCAAAACAACCAGTTTTGATCGAAAATGATAGAGGCAAGAGTGCTGTTTGGAGGTATTTTGCCTTCGAGCCTGACATGGAAGCCGGACGTGTATTTGTCCTCCTTTACCCCCAGTTTCCACATACTCTTTCATTGTCTTTCATTTAATCAATGAGCGCTGTTCCACATCCTCCGCTCGTCACCGCCCACGTACGTCTTCTCCGTCCCTCACCGTCAAAATACGGAGCTGAGCTCTTTTTAGCTCCGCTCCGG